TCGGTCGGGTTTCGATCCGTGCTTGAGGCATTCAGATGTCTAGTCGCAATGAGGAACTGCGAAACAGAACGATCTGCGCATAACATTATATGTGTTTGTGTGTGTGTGTGTGTGTGCATATAAACACGCCTTGGATAGAGGTTCGGTTTGAGGAATCGGAGAGCCGAGTTCGAATTATATTGTCTTACGAAATTAAAGGTATTAATCAGCTATGTGTAAATAGCAGGACAAGCTGGGTTCTATAGCCTTGGATGGCAAATGGTGAGAAGGAAACTCTGAATTCAAAACCTGCGGAGGGTCGTTTGGGGACCTTGTAGCACGTAGTACACCAGGTCTCTGTAATCGGGCCTTCAAAATGTGTGCTGTTGCTATCAGGGCTGTCGGTTCCTAGGATCTGAGCTGCGTGACCCTCATACGTCGAATACGTATTTTTCGTCGCCTGTCACAAGTCTATCCAAAAAAGGTGAAACAAGTTGGCGAGAATAGAGAGAAGAGCAGATGTCAACTCGGGATTTGAGGTTGTTTTCAGACAATCCATGAGGCACCTATTTTCCAAGTTTAGGAACTTTTCCAAGTTGTTGAAGATGACGATGACCAGTTGTATGGTTTGAACTGAGAACCACTGCCAATTCCTCAACTGATAAAGCAGGATTTTCTTCAAGGGCTGCTTTAAGAAGCTTTTCATCAAACTCAACTGGACGTCCGGTTCGATCTTCATCTTCAAGGGTGACATCTCCACCTCTGAATTTTGCAAACCATCTTCTGCAAGTTCTTTCATTCACACATTCCTCTCCATAAACTGAGTGAATGTTTCTAGCCGCTTCGGCTGCTGAGTTTCCTTTCTTGAACTCATAAAGCATTATGTGCCTCAAATGATTCTTGGGTATTTCCATGTTAGCAGGGTTTTAATCAAACAAAATTTAATTTTATTGTTCTCTGAAATAAAATTTGATCAGTTTAAATGCATCTAAACATAAAAATAATGTTCAGCTCCATTAGACATTATAAAATACTCTTTAAATTTCGTTCATTTTAACAAAATTTAAAATTCGGACAGAACTTATGGAATGACCTGATATATATATATATATATATATATATATATATATATATATATATATATATATATATATATATATATAAAAAAATCATTACTTTAATCCAATAAAGTCCTAGATGACGAAGTGCGCCGCACAAACACACACAGAAATTCCATTTAATTAAATTAATTTGCATAATATTTTTCCGATTTATATATCTCCTATATAAATAAAGTATTTTTTTATTTATTAGGACATATCTTTATCACTTAAAAGGTTATTTTAAGTGGATCCCCATATTTGAGTAGACCTCCTGCTTATTTCTTAAACGGTTTTTATTTTCATCTACAGGACCGAATATTTGAGATGTCTTATTAATTTAATTTTTTTTTAATAAGATTTTTCGAATATTCTGTCTGATAGACAAAAATTAAATATTATTTCAAAAATAAAGGGAACTTCGACTCATATATAGGTATCGACTAAAGTTGTTCAGAGTGTTGGACTATTTTTAAATGAAAACAAAACGTCACTAATAAATGGTTATTCGTTGGTTCATTACATAAATGACTTTACGATATTTGTTGGATTGTTTAAAGTCGAATGTAAGTTTTATAAAACAAAACCACATCGAAAACACCAGTTCTCGTTTGATCACTGAAGTTAAGCTGTGTCGAGCCCGGACAATACTTAGATGGGGAGACCGTTTAGGAACATCGAGAACCGTAGGGAACCCTCACCAATCTGAAATATCTTTTCGGTTTTAAATAACTTATAAAGGATTTGTAAGGCGTAAAAAAGTAGACATAGTTTCGGTTTGCACAAGAATGAGCATGTATCTAGTTTAAAGAAACCGCCAACAAATCGATATAACGTATTGATCAGATTACTTGCATTATTTACTTTATTCAGACTGTTATCCCCATCTTCAATGTCATATTCACAATGTTTCGGCCGTTGTACGCCCCGGACTTCTTCAGGTGATTGAAATTTCGAACGAACCCTTTCTTTCGTCCACAGGGGGAGATTGTTCTAGTTCCACGTGTCATAAAGTGTTGGGTTTGAAATTCCAATCACCCGAAGAAGGCCGGAGCGTATAACGGCCGAAACATTGTGAATATGGCAATTAAGATAGGGTTAACAGTCAGAATAATGTAAATAATGTAAGTAAACATAATACCTCATCTCAGAGATATAGACAGATATTGAAGAAAAATTCCAATCACCTGAAGAAGGCCGGACAGTCCAACGGCCGAAACGTTGTGAATATGGCAATGAAGATGGGGTTAACAGTCCGAATAATATAAATGATGCAAGTCTTCATAATACCTCATCGCAGAGATATAGACAGATATGGATCAGAGTTGATTCAATGTGGTTGTCATGATTGATAGCCTTGTCTTTATTTTATTATGTAAAGACGAATGTTTAATTAAAACATGAATACACCTTTAAATGAATTGCGAACAGAAATGCCACATATGATACACATTAACAATGAAAATCGACTGCGAAACGGATCTTGTGAATCTTATGAATCGTTTCAGCGTGACGTTAGTTTCGGGGACTGGACTGGGTAAATTTTGGGCCTTATGCCAGATTCGCACCCTCGGTCTCCACACTTTAAACCAGCCTCGTGCCGTATTCTGCCACCGTCGGGGTTATTTCAAATAAATAACGAAAATGTAGTATCGGTTCTTTCCTCATACAAGATGGGAGAAGTGTTCGGTCGTAGCTCTACAGACACGCCTTCCTCACTGCACGAAGAGTGGTCGGGTCGGTGTAATATCGACAACAGCGTGAAGTTGGTTGAGGGGATTGGGAAAATTTTGGCGTTAGCCCAGATACACGCGCTTGGGTTCTCCACTTTAAACTGACCTTTTGACATATCTCACAACAATGGGGTGGGAGGAGTAAATAACGTGTATTATCTGTTCTTTCCTCATTTGAGATAGGAGAAAGCGCCAGTCACCGGGATTCTAACCCTGCTGCAGTACCTTCCTCGTTGCGTTAAGCGAAGTAGGCTCGGTGTAATATCCCGGCCAGCGTGACAGCGTTTCATCCCCGAGAAGGACGTCATCAGACTAAAGTAGTGTTTTAGTTAATGTGTAGGAAGGGGATGGGGAGTTGTAAAAACACAAGAGTCTCTTATGCAACGGCAGGGTACGCTGAAGATTTTGGGACGTTAAAATTTAAAATTGGAATTTATTTTTTCAAACGTGTCTGGATATGAAGTCTAGTTGATCTCATTCAGTTTTCCCTGTGATATTATTTTTGTCACTTTTATTAAGTTTTCCACATTGTGATAACGAAAGAGCTGCCAAGGGAGGTGATTTCTTTGTTTAACGGCATATCAACATCCTTATGGGTCATTTAATGCCGAAATTTAATTTACTTGTGAGATTTGAAATAGGATATATGTTATTCTGCTTTCACAACTGAATACATGGTAGATGATATTCAGATTTTATGCATATATCTGTTTGTGTGAACTTAATTACTAGAGGTCACTCAGTTATGTGCATTTCGAGTAGGTTGTCATTTCTTTCTCGGTAGCAGCCATCCAACTGGTCTACCTCAGAAAATCGCTGGGGCTGGGAGAAGAACAACATTCATACCTTTTCCAAGGGTATTAGTACGTAAGTGAATGTAATAGATTCGATTGGAATCGAGCCGCTATCCATTACTCCACCGTGCTTCCTACTACAGGTAATGTGTGTTTTATGTTGTCGTTTTGTTGAAGTTATATTTTGAAATACAGTTTGATTTCTTTAAGAAATTGTAGGATATTATATGGATCAATGACATGAAAAAGTTCTTTCATCTTTGTTGGTTGGTTGATTTTGTTTAGCGGTATATCAACACCTCTGTGAATCATTTAATACCGAAATAGAAATATTTTGAATGATTTTATGGTTTCAACTAAATATTTCGAATGCAGTTGCATGCCTTCAACTACAAATAAATGTATTGTTGGTCATTTTACTATAAATATATATTATAATTTGTCTTTTAATATAAAATATATTGATGGTATTTTTACTATAAAAATGTATTTGTATGTTTTCATAGTGTTTAGTTTTTTGGGGGATTCATTATTTGCCAGATCGTATCACCCCGGGTCAGGATTGACATGGCAACATCAACAATTAAGAGGTGGTCCCACGCTTCTCAAAATCTCAAATATCCCGATCAGAGGCCTTGATACCGGATGTAGTTTAACGTCATACCAAGGATTAGCCAAGGATGGTGAAATGTGGCAAGAACCTGAACGTAATATATAATATGAAATAATATAATATAAATACATTATTTTAGCCCGACGAAGTCCTCCTTGTGGACGAAACTCATTATACAGAATTGTTTCTACTTTGTTATTCATTTACCTAAAATTAATATATATATATATATATATATATATATATATATATATATATATATAAGTGGACATTGAAAATTCCTCAACAGGCGACAGGCAGTTTCATGCTAGGAGCAATCGTCAGTCCGCAGGGCCTGAGAATTGCGCCTAGCATGAAACAGCCTGTCGCCTAAGTTGACCCTCAATGTTCACTTTTATATTTGCATACGCTCTATCTCGGATATTGAGCACTTTATCCCATAAATATAGTAAACGTTAAAACTATATATATTATATATATATATATATATATATATATATATATGTGTGTGTGTGTGTGGCATGTGCATGTGTGTGTAAATAGAATAGGCCGATGAAAGAAATTCCAGAGAAAAAAATCAATAATAATTATAATAAGATAATAATATTTATTGTATATTAGTAATTAGTATATTAGTAATTAGTATATTAGTAATTAGTATATTATTAGGCCTTTTGACGAAATAGAAGCATGATGAGAAAAGATGTAAAAATTGTAATTATATATATATATATATATGATTAACTGTCCCGTCGTATTCGACGTATGAGGGTCAATCAGTTCCTAGGAACCGACAACAGCACATGTGATTTGATTGTAGTGGTGAAGGTTTCGTGCCGAACCAACTACACTTTTTGAAGGGCTGAATAAAGACACCTGGTGCACTAAGTGCCACAAGGTCCCCAAACGACCCTCCACAGGTTTTTAATTCAGAGTTGGCCTTCTCCTGGACCAGTTGCCATCCAAGGCTATAGAATGCAGTCTGTCCTGCTATTTCCCCATAGCTAGAGGGAGAAAAGTATTAATACCTTTCACAAGAGTATTAGCACGTAAGTGAATAGAATAGATTTGACTGGAATATCTATCTATCTATCTATCTATCTATCTATCTATCTATCTACATGCATACATACACACACACACACACACACACATATATATATATATATATATAATTTGTCAGCTGATTGATGTTGTATTCGGCACCTCAACTCCAGAGTTTCGTAAACAAAGCCTTTTCTAATTGCTCGGTCCATTCATTGGAAGGTTTCACACATATACAACTTTCAATGAAACTTTTCACTGTCTCATTGAAATTTTCCTATCCGAAACGTTTGGAAAGTAATTTAAACAACGGATTTTTTTTTTGAATCCGATATTTTTTTTTATTAAATTTTTATTGCCTGAGTAGAGATCCCTGTTTGAAAATTAACGTCTCCCGGCGTCAATCGTCGATGGTTTTCTTAAAGAAAATATCTTCCTCGACAGGGATCGATTCTCCTTATCTGAGAAATCATCTTTCATCCAGGCGGTGATCCTTACAGCAAAGGAAATTGAGACTCGCTTTTCTGCAAGGCCTGCCATGACCTAACGAGAAAAGCACGCCGGGCTAGATGTGCTTTCACACACACACACACACACACACACACACACACACACACACACACACACACACACATATATATGTATGTATGTATATAGGAATTGATGCTTTGGAAAATGAAGGCTGGGCGTTTTCCTATCATACATAAGAGACTCGCACCTTAAAACGCTGCTTCTCTATACTTAAGATTCGAGCACAGACAATAATTTGGCGATTATTGTCGATAAACACGACTAAATGGCACTTTTATGAAGGCAAATAACACACATTCTGTTTTTTTTCACCTCATTGTTCTATCGTTCGTTTTTCTTCCTTCCCAATACAAACACATTTTTCATTGATTTCTATCACGTCTCTTTCGAACGGTTTTCACTGATCTAGCCGTCACGATGTCGAATTGTTTCATTTAGAAGTTGCTGATTTGACATGAACTAGAATGACCACACCTTCTTGAGAGAGACAGAGAGAGAGTGTGTGAGAGTGAGTGAGAGACAGAGACAGAGAGAGAGTGTGGGAGAGAGACAGCGAGAGAGAGTGAGAGAGATAGAGAGTGAGAGAGAGACAGAGAGAGACAGAGAGATAGACAGACAAAGAGTGAGAGAGAGACAGAGAGACAGAGAGACAGAGACAGAGAGAGAGAGTGTGAGAGACACAGACAGAGAAAGAGAGAGTGAGAGAGAGACAGAGATAGAGAGAGACAGAGACAGAGAGAGAGTGAGAGAGAGAGACAGACAGAGAGAGAGAGTGAGAGAGAGACAGCGAGAGAGAGTGAGAGAAATAGAGAGTGTGAGAGAGACAGATAGAGACAGAGAGAGAGTGTGAGAGACAGAGAGAGAGACAGACAGAGAAAGAGAGAGTGAGAGAGATGAGAGAGAGAGAGAGAGAGAGAGAGAGAGAGAGAGAGAGAAAGGGAAAGCTGCAGCTTAGAAGTAGATGCTCTAACCAAGATGAGGTAGCTCTAGTCTAGATATGTAAGCTCCAGCCTATATGCTGGTAGCAACAGTCAAGATGTGAAAGCTCCAGATTAGATCTGGATGCTCCAGCGAAGTTTTTGCAGCTGCTGCCTAGATATGGAAAGTCCAACTTCAGCATAGATATGGAACCTTTAACCGAGATGTGGCATCTCCAGCCTAGATATGGTAGCTCCACTCTAGATGTGGAAGCTCCACCCCATATGTGGTAGGTCTAGCCTAGATGTGCAATCTCCAACCTAGATGTGGCAGCCCCAGGCTAGTTATGATAGCTCCAGGATAGATGATGTAGCTTCAGCCTTGATATGGATGGTCCTGACTATATGTGCTAGCTTCTTCTAAATCATTAAGTGCCAGCTTAGATGTGGTAGCTTCAGTCTTGTTGTGGCAGCTCCAGCCTAGAAAGAGGAAACTGCTGCTTAGATGTGGAAGCTCCAGCCTAGATGAATTATTTCCAAGCAAGATCCAAACTAGAAGTGGAAAAATCAAGCCTAGATGTTGTAGATTCATTCTAGATGTGTTAGCTCTAGTCTATGTAATCTCCGGCCTAGGTTTGTCAGTTGCAGCCTAAATGTGAAAGCTCTTGCCTAGGTGTTGCAGCTCCAGCCTAGATGTAGTAGTTCCAGCCTAGATGTAGTAGTTCCAGCCTAGATGTGGTAGTTCCAGCCTAGATGTGGTAGCTCCAGCCTAGAAAGGAGAAGTTGCAGCCTAGATATGGTAGCTACAGACCAGATGTATTTTTACAGCATCGATATCAAAACTTCAGATGCAGATGCTCCTAAATGTAGTAGCACCAGTCTAGATGTGGAAACTCCAGCCTCGATGTGCAACCGCCAGTTTAGATATGTAAGCTACAGCCTAGATGTGGCAGCTCCAGCCTAGATGTCGTAACCACAGCCTAGATGTGTAAGCTCCAGCCAAGATATCGCATCTCCAGCCTTGATGTGGCAGGTCCAGTCCAGGCCAGATGTTGTAGCTCCAGCCTAGATGTGGCAGACCCACCCAAGAATTGGAAGCTCAAATCTAGAAGTGGATGCTCCAACTAAAACGTGGAACCATTTGACTAGATGTAGAAGATTATGCAGCAATGTGACAGCTCCAGCTTAGATGTGATAGCTCTACCCAGATGTAGAAGATCTTCGCATAGATATCATAGCTTCAGCCTAGATAGGGATGCTTCAGCCTAGATGTGGTAGCTCCAGCCTAGATATGTAAGCTTCAGCCTAGATGTAGAAGTTCCAGCCTAGATTATGTAGCTCTCACCTAGATGTGGCAGCTCCAGCCTTGATATGGTAGCTCCAGTCTAGACATGTAAGCTCCAGCCTAGATGCCGATTCTTTAGCCTAAATGTGGCAGTAATAATTTCATTTTTGGTCTGATCTGAATTCTTGTAAGTCCATACTTTTAATAAACGTTGAGAAAATAATTTTGCATGTTGCTAAACCTGTTGAGCAATATTTAAACTGTCGACTGTATAGAACTTTCTAAGATCGATAGTGAAAAACAGCTTTGAGCGAGTGAAGCGTGGTGGTCTTGGCAAAGATGATGTGGACTGACGCTACAGAATCACAAACAAAGAACTCAAACCAAATACAAAAAAATATTGTATCATTTGAGGACTACCAACAGCAGCAACAACTAAAATGGATAGCACATGTAAATTCGATGAGAAAATAATGACATGTTGACGCCCCAACTAAATGGGCTAAAAAGTTTATATGCTGACTATGAAGGCGTGCTGCTAGAGGTGTGAAATTTTGAATGCATTAATTTCAACTCTTCTTCTTAATAACAGCATTGTTTATTTCCAGGCAAACTGCTATCTGACTGTTCAAAGTAACTATTAGTGATTTGACATTGTGGTGTTATTAAGTACATGCAGGAAAACGAATTTGCCTCCCCAAGGACACTCATGCTGAAATGGTTGCTGCAATAGGGGATGATGCCTCAGCTTTATCAATATAGCAAAAGTATGCAGCTGAATTTAGGAGTATAAGGGCGAGTCTGAATTTCGGGCACCTGCCACCACAGCGGAAAAAAAAAACATTGAACGTTTTCACCACATGTTGATGGATAACAAGGCGATTGACTATAAACACCATGGCCAATGGTATTATCATATTCCGTAAGAGAGTTGAGAATATTTTGCACAATGAAATTGGCATGAGAAAGGTTTCTGCTCGGTGGCTGCCATATTTTACTGAAACATGACAAAAGGCCCCCCAGGAGGGAATTTGTTTCAGCTGGTTTTCAGCTGCTTTCCTTGAACGTTTCTTAAACCATCATGTTTGTTGGGTTCATCACTTTGACATGGAGACAATCCATTCAGTGGAAACAGCCCTTCTGACCTGCTCCAAAGAAGGCCAAGGTCATTTCATGTGCGGAGTAGGTGATGGCCTCAGTATTTCCGGGGTGCAGAAGGCATTGTGTTTATTGACTACGTTCAAAAGGGACACTCTATCAGTGGAGATACAATGCCAACTTATCGAGGTAGTTAGGAAAGGCTGTCATGACTAAACGCCCCGGAAAACTGACGAAAGGGGTTTTGTTTCATCAGCATAATGTTCCGGCAAACAAGTCATTGGTTACGATAACGGCTGTGCGTGATTGCAGTTTTGAACTTGTTGACCACACTTACCATTTTCCTGATTTAGCACCATCCATCTATCAACTGAATGAAAAAAAACACTTGTCTTCGAACCAGTATCGTAGTGAAGATGACGCCATATCAACTGTTGATGTCCTTTTTGACCGACAGGATGAAAACTTCTTGACCAATGAGATCCAAGCACTGCAATACCGATGGAAGAAGTGTGTGGACCTCATTAAGGATTATGTTGAAAAATAAACTTCATTTGGTCATATTCTGTGTAAGTATCTTGGTCAGTCTATGAACTTTTCATCACTTTGAGATAGAGACAAAAAGAGAATCTATTCAGTGGAAACACCCCTTGTCACCTTCTCAAAAAAATGCCAGTGTCGTTTCATCTGCAGAGAAGGTGATGGTCTCAGTTTTTTGGTATGCAAGAGACATTATTCTTATTGACTATCCAAAAATAAGCACTGTTAATAGAGAGTACTCTGCCAATTTGCTGATGCAGTTACGAAAGGCTATCAAGACCGAACGCCCGTAAAAACTGAGGAAAAGCGTCTTGTCTCATTCGGCCAATGATCCAGAACAAAAGTCATTGCTTTCGTTGGTTGTTGTTTGTGACTTTAGCTTTGAATTAATTGATGGTCCTCCCTATTCTCCTGATTTGTCTCCATCTGGCTATCATCTGTTATGAAAAAAAAACAAAAAACAATTGGCTGGGAACCAGTACCTCACTGATGATAAATGTCATATCTGCTTTTGATGACTTTTTTTTTTCGACAGGATGAAAGCTTTTTCATCAATGAGATCCCATCAACCCAACACCGACAGAAGAAGTATGTGGAAGTTTTTAAATTTAAGTGTTTCACTTAGACCCTGACGAACGCAAAAATAAGAAAAAAAAAAATCGTGTAAAGAATTAATGCAAATATCAAATGTAAAGAAGCCATACAAATTTATAGAAATACAATAATGAGTAAAGAAAAAGTTCAAAATTAATTACAAGCCGATTTACGACCAGATCGATTTACGACCGACAAGTCATAAGCAATTGTAGTCGTAAGTCAGCGACGGCCTGTATATACAAAGTGCCTCATAATGATGGGAAACGTTTTAAATGTAAGTATTTTGGATTTTAAAGAAATGTCATAGAGTACCAAATATATTTATTACATAACTGATATACAAGTGTTCAACATATTATCTAAGATTTGAATATTACATCCTTGAGATGGTTATCATCACGAAGAGAACCTGCCCGAGCTCACTTTCTCATTTCAAACATGGTTGGCATTGTTTGCCTCACGGAAATTTGTAGCAGCACACAGGATTACCTTTCGGGATGGTGTCTGTCGCTTTAAATGCCGTCGGAATTTTCTTTGTGCCGCAACGATGGTCTTTGGTTGCGGAAGTATGCTTCTACTACGTATGCAATTTCTTTTAGAGTCCACGACAATATGAGTGTCTCCCGTCAGCAAAAAAAACATAACAGATACCTGCAGGAAATAGCAAAATCTTACATAATATGTTGGACTCTTTTATATCAGTCATGTATGAAATTCAGGAGGCACAGTGGAGTAATTGATAGCAGCTCGGATTGAGGAATCGGAGAGCCTCAGTTCGGAATTCTAGTTAAATCTATAACATTCACTTACGTGCTAATAACCTTTAGGAAAGGTTTGAATAATCTTCTCCTCCCAGCTATGGGTAAATAGCAGGAGAGACCGGGTTCTCTAGTCTTGGATGGCAACTGGTCTACCGCAGAAAAAAATGGCAACCTACTGCGGGAAAAATTTCTGCCTCGTCAGTTATGTATCGAAAGATACATGATCGCCTAAGCGTGTATCACGCATGGCACATAACTGACTGATGTAAGAAACATATTTGATACTCTGTTAATTTTATATTCCAAGGTAGGTTTAAAATGTACCCTATCAGTATAGTACTCCCTGTATATGTATTAGTTTAAGTCATGAATAATTTCTGTCTATGTGAACCGATGAATATTGATATATATATATATATATATATATATATATATATATATATATATATTCAAAATTTATTCGAAAATATAACATAAATATGTTATAAAATCACTACAAAAATAGCCATTTTGTTTCAACACCTCTGGTGTCTTATCAAGTGATGATGTTGAATTCAACATCATCACTTATCAAGTATATTATTCCGTATACACCAATCCTATACTTGTATATATATATATATATATATATATATATATATATATCTAACTAACTCTAATTTAATTATATCATAATAGGTAATAAAATATGGGTTATATACGACAGTGTTCATAGCAAAAGGCTGTAGATTGACAAGGATGAATCTAAATAACTGACCCCCTCAAAAAAAAAAAAAAAAAAAAAAAAAAAGAGCTGCATGGAAGAGAGGTCATGTCGTCAAATTGAAGCAACAGAGAATGGCTCCTTCCTACCAATCAGTCTCCTTGTTAATTAAACAGCTTTACCGAGAGAAAGAAAGAAATAGAAACGGAAGGAAAGATTAATTAAAGAACGATCGAATCAGAAAGGAAAATATATATAAGCTAGTTAAAGTTGATTTTTTTTTTATAGAAGAATAGTTGGAAGCATCATGATAAGATTGTTTCCAGTTCAAAGATTATTAATGAAACGAACGCATAATGAGTTTTGGCGTCTTCATTAAGAACGAGTCGAAAGATAACCTTTAATTCCGACATATTGACACTGTAATCGACGAACAGAAGTACTATTCGTAAAAGATAAGAGAGACGGATGAAATAGAATACAAGTGCGTATGATCGAGTCGAATTCATAGCCAGGCACGTGGTTAGTAGCCGAAATTTGATCTGAAAACTTCACTGTACAATAATGTTCAGTCCATGCGATTAGTGTACCTATTCTCTGTGGAAGGTAAATGCTCGTAATAATTATTTATTTATTTCGGTTTGTGCGAGATCTATCTATCTATCTATCTATCTATCTATCTATCTATCTATCTAGACCTGTGCAATATCTATCTATCTAGACCTGTGCAATATCTATCTATCTATCTATCTATCTATCTATCTATCTATCTATCTATCTATCTATCTATTTCGATCTGTAATCTGTAACATATCTATCTATCTGTCTATGTACTTACAATGGCTCATTGTTTGGAGCCATATGATTTTACGAAATGCAACTTAATTGGCCCCAAACTATAGTATAATAAAGCCTAAACAGACCACTCTAGGAAATGATACAGACTGATAAATTTGTTAGTCATCGCTTTGTGCTAGGGACTTAATCTTTTTACTAGCCTTAACTTCCAATGCAGAACGAACATACTTTTTCCATTTTGTTTTCTCATCCAATCATTCAACTATCCAATGTCTGTTTGTGTGGACAACATACTGAATATTCGTTCACCAATGGAGTTACCTTTAGTTGCTTCAGGTCATTGGGTTTTGGCCAGCTTTCTCTGCTATTTAACCCATACCTCGGGGTGAAAGAGAAAATATCGATTCATATGGATTTGTGCGAAAGTGAGTCCAATGGTCACAATCAGATTTTAATAATGAGTGCTGTAACCCATTTGTACCTAAGAGATACTACGTGTAGTGCAGCTGTAGCAGAAGTTGTGTGTCTTGGACAAGATAGCCTGATGAAGAACAGTCCTGTCCAAGCTAGTTTGAATTCAGAGTTTTCTTTCTGGTAAATTTGTCTGTTATGCTATTTAACCCATAGATGGGGGAGATAGATTCGTACCTTTCCAAAGGGTATTTGCGCATAAGTGAATATAAAGTATTCGACTAGAACTTAAAATCGTCTTTTCGATTTCTCATTGCGAATTGCTATCTATTACACCGCCGCCCATTCATGAGTGTAATGAACAAGATCGGATGTCGAACACCGTAATGTGTCATTTTTCAAAGTAATTTCTAAATTTGGTTGTTCGAATTTCTTTTCTGAGATGCTCTTCACGACACACTTTTCCTTTACACGCGGTTCTCTCGGATTTTACGAACTTTAATAGTGTCTGGCATAAGGCCATAATAAGTGAACACCCTGTGTAGATTGAGTTTGCAACTATGATGAAGAGCCGAGAAAAACCTACCAATCTTCGTCAGGCGTTAAAAATTTATGTTCGTCTGGGACAAGGCTACAAAATCTGAGCTCCGGACGATGGAACTAATAAAATTAACTGACGGTCAAGAGAGATGTGTTTGTTAACCATCACCCTGGCGATCGATGACGTAGTAATTTATAAAATTTAACTAAAGGAGCGTCAAAATCTGAGTGCCTCGTAAATTTGAACTCATAAAATTAGTTCGCAGTTGAGTTAGATAAGTTGGGTTAAACTATATATATATATATATATATATATATATATATATATATATATATATATATATATATATTATATTTCAGCTAACTCAATATAGACGGAAAATTTTCACATATACATCGGCGGTATGAATTGGCTGGATTTTTGGTTTAGATCATATCGTTTTTTATTGTGCGTAGTGTCACCACAAATGTATACACACGTTTCCGGTGTCTGTTTTTTAATTTTAATTTTAGGTCAGCGAATCGGTAGCATTTCCTTATCTCACTCATTTAAACCGTTATTTAACTCCTCTCTTTAAAACTTCTTTCTGTTAAATTTTAATCCGCACCTTCACCTTTAAGCCTTCCTGTTCTTCTTTCTTCTATTACACCCTCTCTCTAGAGCTTTCATACATTTCCCTCTCACACTTGTTTCCCACTCCTACACATACACTCTCACTAAAATTTTGTTTTTTATACCAGGAGTTATATTTTCCGATTTCTTTTTGAATTTGTAGGTCTGATGAAATGGATCGTGATTACGATTCCAATGTAATAAATTATAACCACGGAATATTAGTGTTTGAGCCTTTTATATATATATATATATATATATATATATATATATATTTATATATATAATTTTAAAATGTATTTAAATATAACGTATTCTAACTCAAACACCCCTTTTAGAAAAAATCTTTAAGTATACAAGTACGAAAAAATGCCGAAAACCTTTTTGTCGTTAATAATAAAAAAACCCAGATGACATGCGTTTAACGAATGTCAGAATTCGTTGAAAAATACACCCCTAAACTTAACCTATTTTCGAACATAACTCATAATTGATACAACAATAGTTAATAAAAATGAATACGCTACCGCCCCTGTCTAAATGATTGGATTTCTCTGTATCCTTGGAAACAGGAAATTATGAATTTATATGTACGTTTAAAACTCAGTAAATTTAAAAATAAGTTATTCCAAAATTCGCTTGAAGATGAAACAGAACTAATGCTTTTAATTTAATTATAGAATTACATTTGGAGTTTTTAGCTTCAGCTTTTGAAACATGGTTATTACTGTGTAACGAAGAAACCATCTTTTTAAATCAGTTAATTTATAACATTTATACTCTGTAAATTTACATTGAGCACTGTTTTGTAAAAATAAAAAAAATATCAATAAGAACACCGGATTATATATCTTACTGTTCTTTATATATATATATATATATATATATATATACCAGGCACCATTATTGTTTATTTATTTTTTTTATTGTTTTTCTGTAGTTGAGATCAATGGAAGAAAAAAAAAGATTGATCGTTTTTACCTAAGTTAATCTAGTATCCTGTAAGTGCAATGTGCCATACGAACTTGGCGTATGGCCAGACTCTCTCAGCTTGAGAAGCCGGGAGATATTTGTTTATTAGCCAATAGGCAGTAACCGTCTTGCAAACTTAACAAACGCTCCCGGGTAAGTGACAGCGACCGAACCGCTGAATAATGGTGGCTGGCTAACCATAACGGTGAACTTTTCTCCGCGTCATCCGCCTTCTGTGGCCAGAGTTACCAGATAATTTATGGCTTTTTTCCATTGGCTATCATAAGGCATAAACATGCGAAAAAGAAGCAGTTTAACTTTTGTTGAGGAAGGTTATCTATCTGAGAGTTTAACGTCCCCTGCCGGGAAAGTTTCATGGCTTAACATAAGAAAGGAGTTTACAGCTTATTGACGACAGTCGTTGTCCGAGCATTTTGTCTTCAATTCCATGTCCCTTCAGGATGTTGGCGATCATGGCTCTTCCCAGCCTTTAATATCTGTAAATATTAATGCAATACTTAAATGCATCGATCAATTTTGAGTTCTTCTGTAGTTTATTGTCGCCTATCGTATCTACTCCCATCACTATTGTGATGAAGGCCCAATCAAGATCCCTTATATATATATATATATATATATATATATATATATATATATATATATATTATTAAAATATTTTTTTTATAATAGATTATAATAAAAACATTTTAAATTGTTACACAAACATTTTTACGTTCAATTGTTCCTCATCGGGAAATGGTAGATTGCATATAATATAAATGATTTATTTGGAAAATTTGAAAACATCGTTACCACTTTTGAAACTCAAAAAGTTGGGGTGGGGGGAGCTAATGTCAGAATTAAAATATATACTAGTAGGCATGTCTGAATCAACCAATTGGTGGTTATTTTGCCGGAAATAGTTTATTTATTTGGGTTAAATTATTTTGATTGTTTTTATTTATTTTTATTTTTATTTATTATTTTTTTTCTTATTTTATATATTTATTTATTTATTTTAATCAGTGTTTTATTAACGTAGTAAAAATTTGTTTATATCGCTTGTTTTGGTTTGGTTTGGGAAGATAAAGCTATTTATTCAGTTTTGGGGTTGATTGCTGTAGCTTATTCTAACAATTATATTGGCAGGAGCAGTTTTTAATTTGTTTATTACTTCATTTATTTATTTGCATTGATTATCTTTAGTTGTCTTTTTCTAACGGTTAATTTATCGGGATCGGTTTGTTAGTTTATTTATTTGGATTAATTTAGATTAATTTATTTTAGTTGTTTTTTTATTATTTATTTATTATACTGTATATTTTTATTTACACTTTTCAGTTTTCGATTTTTAAGTAACGTAGTATTTTTTATCGTTATATAACAGTTATAGCTATGTTTTTCGTCCGATTTTCGGTTTGATTTTTATTGTTTAACCAATATTTTGGTCATAATGGTTTGTTAATTTTTTTATTATTTACTTTATTTATTTGGGTTCATTGATTTTGTTTTTTACTTTTTATTTATTTATTTATTCTATTTCGTCTCTTCTATCGGGCGTGATTTGGTAATTTGTTTGGGTTAATTTATTTTATTTACTTATTTATTTTTATTTTATTTTTTTTATAGATTGATTTTTTCTATAGTTTAGGTTTTAAATCTTTTAAATTTAAGCACGTTCATAAAAATTCTTATTTTTAAGAATATTATTACCAACACCAGCCTTAGAATTTCTCCACGTTGGAAATTGCAATAATTACTGTTCTTTCTTTTTTCTCTTTTTCTTCAGTTCCGTCAGTAATTCCAAGACATAGAACCAGGGGCTGTATTTTCCAATTTCAGTGCAAGAATTTCATATAATGGTTGAATGGAAGCGGTCTAATAAGACACAAGTGTAGTCATGGAAGCGGCATATCGTAGCTGTTTCGAAATACCCTCAGGTTACGAGAAAGGAGAGTTCCTTTTGCTTTGATAGTTACTGGCGAAGGAGTAATTGTTGTTGAAAGTCGGTGGGAAATTACTAAAAGGAGCGGGTAATTTATTGGTAAGCCCGTGGCGATGTAGAGAATGTAGTTGGATTCAAAATTTAAGGAATAAGATAGTGATTAAAAATTAAGAAAAAGAACAAATATACTGACGGCCGATTATTAGCACATTTTGCCGGGGATTTATTTTGATATAAATATAATGAACATTGAACAAAATAATCGTACCACCGAGAGACATACCACCGAGAAAAATATCTGAAAAAAAGTTAAGCGCGCTGCATCAGGTAAGTACCATGGTGAAGGTAAATGAAGGAAGTAATTTAATTACACGGCAGTCTTGCTTTGTACTCATTCCTTCATAAAATCTCACGAAATGATCAAACATCACCTATCATTTTCCAAGAAGTATCCTCTCATATATATATATATATATATATATATATATATATATATATATATATATAGATGTGATAGGAAAATTTT